TTTTCCTTCCTATTTCTGCTTCCATAGCCTCTGCCTGTGTTTCAAACTCCTTATCTTCTCTCCTCATCTGCTCTAACGTTTCCTCATTTCCTGTTTTCCCTTCATAGTTTGCTTTCATCATTTCTAATGCTATGCGTGCCTGTTTATAACAATCTAAAGGTAAATATCCCTCACTCTTTTTATTCTGTCGCCTCTTTGGTCTTACATCTGGTCCTTTTTGTTTTTCTTCTAATGCTACTTGTCCTTCCATTTGCATTTACCCAGACACTTCTACAGTACCCTTAAGTATTGGGAACTGTCCCTCTGGGGGCAGATATGGTGGTGGTTTAGAAAACAACTTTTTTCTTTGTCTCTTTGTCTGCCTCTTTTAGTATTTTTCTTGCCTGTTTTATACTTTTCAATGAGTCTTCTCCTTCCTTTTTGAACAAATGCCTCTTTTAGTATTTTTCTTGCCTGTTTTATACTTTTCAATGAGTCTTCTCCTTCCTTTTAGAACAAAGATAACACTTCTTTCTCTTTTTCCCTTTTTGCTTCTCTCTTTTCTCTCTTTTTACTATTGCCTTTAGTTTTATGATTTTTTATCAAAGTTTCCATTTCCTCGCACAATGCTACATCAAATGTCCCTTCCTTTGGCCATTTTGTCATCATTTTTTTTAGTTCTCTGTTGCCATTTGTTTGAGAGCTTGTCTATCAGTTCTTTACACGAATCTTTACATGAATGAAATTAGCAGATGTGTGAGTACCAGTACCTGAAGGAGAACAATGAATCATGTTACCTTTGCTTTCTTGCTCAGACGTACCTACACCAGGGTCTTCTCCAGATCCTCCTGAACCTTCAGGAAACATCTCAAAGGGCTCCTGAAAGACAATTGAAGAAATAATAAATATAAAGGTTTAAATATTTTAAACAGGCATGTAGAGATATGTCAGTGTGTTTATGTATTATATTTTGTTGAATGAACTCACCATAGTAATGCTCTCAGAGGTAGTCGTCTCAGGAGCTATGAAGAAACGCAAACAAACATTTCAATATTCAAAAACATTTTTTAGGGTGAAAACTAGGGATGCACCGATACCACTTTTTCCAGTACTCGCC